AAACAACATGGCCATGGCAGGGACCAAGTTTTCACCCAGACAGTTTAACTGATTTTAAATTTCACACTCAAATATATAATAGTTCAGAGTGGACAGGACCAAGGAGGTCCCTTACATAGTTCAAACCCCTCATTTTACAATGTAGGAAACTGAAGTCCAGGGAAAGTAAACACTTGATAATTTGTGAGAGAGTCAGGATTAGAAAGTAAAGCACTTACGAAGTGCTTAGTATGTGCCCTGTACTGTGGTATGTGCTAGGAATACAAAGAAAGGCAAAAAGAATCTCTCTACCCTCAAGGGGTTCACCGTATAAAGGAGGAGAAAACATGTAGACAATTATGTATAAACAAAATATATACAGGATAAAAAGCCAATCTCAGAGGAAGGGTATTAGCATTAAAAGACACCGAGAAAGCTTTCCTGCAAAATATGGGATTCTGGCTGACACTTGAAGGAACCTAGAAAAGCCAGAAGGTAGAGATGAGGAACAGTCTTCCAGAAATTGGGGGCAGCTAGTGAAAATGCATGGAATTAGGAAAGAATATTTTAAGGAATAGCAAGGAGGTCACTGTCACAGCATTATAGATTATGTGGAAGAGAATATAAAGTGTTAGAAAACTGGAAATGTAGGAAGGGGCCAGGTTATAAAGGCCAAAGAAAAAAAAATTTACACTTGATCCTGAAGGAAAGATTTGAGGCAGGGAGATCAACCAGCAGGCCACTACCATAGGCCAGGTATGAGGGGATGAGGCCCTTTACCAGGGCGGTGGCAGTGTCAGGAGAGAAAAAGCATCTAACTTCAGTCTAAAGTTCTTTTTCTCAGTGTCAAGTAATTATGCTGAAAGTGTTAAATGTAGCATTTAAATAAATACATGCACTGAACATTTAAAATTAATATGTAACAGATATATACATATAAAACACATACACACACTATAAACTGTGCTAAGAATTTAGCTCTTCTTTGCAATTATCTCTGGTTTTAGAGAATAGAATGAACAGGTATAAATAAAATCAGTTGGGCATTCCAAAATCTTATTTTAAAAACACTGTTTAAATTTCCTCCAGGATAAAATCTGTTTTAGAGTGATATTGAGACACTTACTGGCTCTATGACCCTAGGCAAATTCCTTAACCTAACTCTGACTTGGAGCCTTCATCTTTAGAATGGGAATAATGCCTATAGTCCTACTATGACCAAGGGCTACCAGGAGTTTTGAAAGATAATATAAACATTTTGCAAACCTTAAAGCTCGAGTTGTAGTTCAGTTCAGTCCAACTCTCTAGATAAATCAATCAATCATCATCCCCTCAAAAAAAGAAGGAAGAAAGAGTTTTTCTTAAAACATTCATTTCTAGAACCATTTTTTTTTTTTAAATTTCAAAGTCGGTCTGTGGATTTACTGATTTCAAAGTTCTTTCTGTGGATGCCAAGTGCCTGGCACTCACTATATTTAGTCTTTAGAAGACTGGTATTTAGTCTTAAAGAAGTCACCATCCAATTCTTAAATTCTGCTTGATGAAACCTCAAGTAGAAAAATTCCAAGTATGTGGGATTGATAGTTTAGCACAATATTGTATTCTACACTGCAAAAATGTTAATTTATAAGAAATCTTTAGGCAACAAACTCATTCTTTGATTTTTCAATTCAGCAGGAAAGGTAGGTTTCTTTGCCTGTAATAATAAGAAACTGGTCCCTTGATGTCATCCACAGAAGCTGAACCAGTACTTTCTGGATGCTGAAGCATTAGGTGCTGGAGTTCCACTTTTAAAATGAAGTTGAAAAGTAGAATAAAAAGCTTCCACACTCTCACATACCATGCTCAAGCTCTTAAATCGCAGTAACTGGCCAACACAAAGCCACTACCATCACCTTACTTTTCCTGGCTCCTTTCAGTTTGCAAAAGCTTAAAAACAAGCACTAGTATTCCAAAGAGTTCCCAAATGAACAGGATTCTATCTTAAAACAAATAAAACAAAACAAAAACCAGGTAAATCAAAACTCAGAATCCCTTTTGCTTAAAAGAAAAAAAAAATTATGCGTGGTGTCGGGGCAGGGTAGGAAATGTCAGGAGCTGAAGAGTGAACAATGGCCAACTTCCTGGATATTCTTGAGAAGTCAGCCTCAGACTTATCAGAGATTGTAAATTTCCACAGAGATTCCTGTCCTGGACATCAGACCCTGGGCAGGAACACAGATTCAACAGAACACTAAAGGAAGTGGAGTCCAAACTGTTATCTTGGCTTCCTTCCGGTATAGGTTTGGAGGGAATGGATATAAGCTAGAAGTCTAGCTCTTAGAAGCCAGCATGTGTAGGAAATGACCTATAGAGTATATAGCTGGGCCCCACAGGGACCAATAGCTAAATGCTCCGTATCAGTTTCACAATCCTGTACAATAAACTACACCTCTCCACCCCCAACCCCCGAATCTGAACCAGTTTTGCTTCTTACCAGCTGCTGTTTACAAAAAGGCCATTTGGCTGCGACCTTCAAAACATGGCTCAGGCTCAGGCCCAGGTAATTTAATTCCCTCAGCCCTTTCCTCACTTCCTTCGGCTTTAATATGGTCTCATTTTAACAACAGCTTGTGTTTTTGTTGGTCCCTGCTATAGTACTAGACCTTCTAGAAGGAGTCTAGAAGACTCCCAGGTTACAGATCAAGTACATTAACAATTCATTGACTTGGGTCAAATCTTTTCAAAAGTCTCCAGGTCAGTCTTCATTCATTTGCAGGCTGAAGAAAGTGAACACAGAACTTTCAGTAAACCCAGTCCTCTTCCCAGGTACTCAGAGATGGCTCAGGAGTCAATGATTTGACAGCAAAACCCAATGTCTGGCAGATAGCCAGGGCAAGGAAGTCAGAAGCAAATGATGGGGTGATGGAACCTAGACCCCTAAAGGAAAAGACCATGTCTTTGAAAGCAACCCAGTCCCTGCATACATTTCAGCAGCCCAGTCACTGGTGCCTCTGTACAAGACAACTGGCCTACCTCAGCCCACCTAGATCACCTAATTAGCCTATTTGATATGCTTTTCACAGTTGTACCCGGCCTGCCCCAGACTAGTTACTTAATTCCATCCAGATCCTTTCCTGGTCCTTTTTGTATATAAGTATCAGTCTCACCCCAATAAAGTTGCAGGCTCACTAGGAATCCTGCCCAATTCTATTGCCATTACAATAAACTGCTCCTTGGCTGGAAGATGATTTGAGTGCATGAATTCATTCCAGGTGGATGCCACCCTGTACCCTGACATTTCAGGGTTCCCAGTAACCCCAAACTGCATCACAACTGAGGCCCTGTCCCATTGTCATAAATATCTCTACCAAAGTTCTAATCCATTGTCTTATCATGGTGGCCCTGGATGTCAATGGAACCCGAGATGAAAAGAATTTAGAATTCTTTTGACCTAATGCAGGGGTAGGGAACCTGCAGCCTCAAGGCCATATGTGGCCCTCCAGGTCCTCAAGTGTAGCCCTTTGACTGAATCCAGACTTCACAGAATAAATACTCTTAATAATCCCCAAGGATTGCTAAAAGCCAAAGATCAACTAACTCTTCTAAGGTCAGGACCAAATAACAACATTTTTTGTCCAAAATGATCTACGAAACAGACTTTCTAGAAGTTCTGGGCAATCAAGGCTACCCTGATGTCATCTCAAACAGGAAGTCATCTTACTCCTAAACTAATTCCTCCTCCAAGCCTCCCTGTTTCAGTTGAGGACATCACTTTCTTTCACAGCCTCACAGTAATATATTAATATATGTACACACACACACCCACCCACACCCCCCACACACATTTGGGGGGGGAAGAGAGGCGCAAGGCAATTGGGGTTAAGTGACTTGCCCAGGGTCCCAAAGCTACTAAGGGTCAAGTGTCTGGTCTGAGACTGGATTTGAACTCAGGTCCTCTTGATTCCAGGGCCAGTGCTCTATCCACTGCGCCACCGAGCTGCCCCTCTCACAGTCATTCTTGACTCTTCATTGTCCCTTACCCACAATATCCAACCAGTAGTCAAGTCCTGCCAATTTTCATTCCACATCTCAGACATCCAACCCTTTCTCCTAAGGCCATAATCACCTCTTACCAGGACTATTTGAACAGTTTCCTAATTGGACTCCTACTTTCAACCCTACCCCTCTCCAATCTATCCTCCTCCATACATATGGCAAAATAATATTCCTGGCCATGTCATCTCCCTGTTCAAGAAACTTTAATGACTCCCATTGCCTCAATGATAAAATATTTCATGCATACCTACATGTTTTAGAATTCCTGATTTCCTTAAAGATTCAGTTCATGTACTACCCTTTAAATCTTTCTTGATCCTTTTAGATTTAGTGTTCTCTTTCTCTTCTTCATCAAATTTTATGTATATACTTCTATGTTAATATTTTACATCCCCCTAGTTAAATGTAAGCTCCTTAAGGCCAAATCTGGTTTTTTGCTTTGTTTTGTTCCTATATCTTCAGCATCTTACATATTGCCTTGCACACAGAGTATCATTAATAAATTCCTATTAGATTGGATTTCAAATGTTATTGGCAAGCTGGTTGTAGGTCTGACAGATTAGAGAGGATAAACACTATAAAAATCCTTTTGTTTTCCTTTACCTTACCCTCTCAACCCCAGAAAAGGAAATTACAGCAAGATGAAATAAGAAGGTTCAAAGTGTTTTACAAATGAAAAGCTATCATCTTTTGAGTATGTGGGTAGGGATGCAAAACTCAGGAATGTGCATTTTCTAGCCTGGGGCAGAGGACTCTATAATCTGGTTTAAGGCTTTTTAAGTTAGGAAGTTTCAACGTTTCTGAACTGCAGGCCCCACCATATACTCTGATTTCCAGTCCCCAAATACTTCCACATATTCTCAATGTAGATACACTACTTTTCACCAGACCACATCCTCCACTGAACTCTGTTCAAGGGCTGCAGAGTTTTGCCATACAGTCTGTTAAATAACAAACTTGTTTGTAGACTGCTTCAGGCTTACCTGATTTTTTCCTATGTGTATCTTCTGTTTCCACAGTTTCAATATAGGTCCCTAGGGGAATAATGTATATTTTACTTCTACTGTGTCCCTCAAAGTGCTTCTAGAATAGAATTGGGTATTGAGTAAATTCTTGTTAATGAGGAAGATAGTACTTTGAAACTCTAAAATACTATATAAATGTTAGTATTAAGATGTACAAATTATTACATAGAAATATAATTATTAAAGAAGTCATATAGTAACCAAATTCAAAAAGGATTTGCTCTACACACTTCTTTATTGGCTCTGCAATTTTCCCAAATAAAGGGAAGAAAGGAGGAAGGAAGGAAAGACTGAACTACTGCCTGGTTATCACTCTATCTATCTCCACAGCCTATCTTCCTACTTGGAAGCCTTTTCCATTTTCTCTCCCACTAAGTTTTTATGTTTCTTTGCTTTTTCAAAAAAAAAATTAATACATGTAGTACTTTCTTCACAGTGTTGTCATGGGGTAAGAAGATGATGACAAAAACATATGCTTAAGAAGGGTTCAGGGGGACAGCTAGGTGGCGCAGTGGATTGAGCATCAGCCCTGAAGTTGGGAGGACCTGAGTTCAAACCCAGTTTCAAACCAAACACCTGACACCAGCTGTGTGACCCTGGACAAGTCACTTAACCCCAATTGCCTTAAAAAAAAAAAAAAGAGAGAAGAGTTCAGAAAGGGGCCCTTCTTGTTTTTTAAATAAAGGGATCTTCCTTTTTCCTTTAATGTAAAGATAGTTCCTGGAATTACTTAGTTACCCCATTTTACTATAGCCTTCCATTCACAAACTATGGTTCTCACCTCTTTCTCTCTGAAAGCAATTTTCTACCAAGTAAAGCAGAAGAATTTCATGTATCTGGATGTGGCCCAAATGGCTGTTAAGACTCAGATCCTCCGGAGAAGGCCAGGGACAGATTCAGGCATTTTTCAGACACTAAGCCAAGGAGGCTGGTAAAGAACCCAGGGGAGGAAACAGTAACTGAGGAAACAGTGTGCTAGCAGTGAAGAAACAGCATTTGTAATTTGAGATCAACACTACACTACCCCTCCAGCTGGCAGGGCAAGTCTAACTACTATCTCCAGGGACTGCTGAATGAAACTCACTCCCTACATAGGCAACAAAATGCAAAAGGCACAGGCTAAAATTAATGTTAAAAATTCACAACCCATATTGAGCAAAAATTTAATAATAATAATATGATTTTAAAAGTCCCCAACCCAAGCTCTGAGGAATAAATGCAGCCTGAGGCCATATTGCCAGGACTGGATTAAGCCCCTGTGTCTGCACAGTGAACTGCTTGCAAATTCCAATGACAAAGTGTAGATTTTCTCTGTGAAAATAGCAAGGAAAGCACATGTGGGGGAAGGGGAAGACAGGGAAAACAAAAACAAAAACCTCCAGCAACTGACTTCTGGTTTGGAGCCATGGCATTTCCTTCAAGGACTAGTGTGAAGCTCCCCTCCCCACCAAATGTCACCAGACCAATTCTACTCCACCATGGCCTTTCATTGGGATCAAAGAAGTAGGAACTGTCAGAACTAAAAGGACTCTAAAAATCACTTAGTCCAAACCCCTGATTTTATATAAAACTAAGGTAAACATGACTGGATCAAGCTTTTGGCAAAACTGAGACTTAAGCTCTGGGTTTAATGCTCTTCCCACTGACCTGCATGACTAGCTGTACTTACATGTTATACATGTGGTTTTGATGGGGTAGAAAAGTGTGCTTGAGGCAGATGGAGCAAACTAGGAGACAAGATACAGGATGTGACCAACCAGAAAAGTGATCAGAGAAGACTATGCATTGAAGCCCCCACCATGGACTCCAGAGAGATTCTTTCCCTCCCTTTTCTGTTCTCTTTACTTTTCACCCCCAGACCACCTGACGTCCCAGGCATTTGGATCCAGGCTTGCTCTTCCCATTCTCGTCCCCTTCCCCCTATTCCATAAAATTGTATTTGAACCATACCTTTAACCTGGCTAACCACCTTTGTCTCCTACAGGAAGCAGGGGCCGCTCTTCTTCCTTAAGGGAACAGGGCTCTCTGCCTCCCACATAAAGCAGAGCCCACTGGGGCTCTGCCTCACAGAGAGCAGGCCCACTTGGGTACATCACACCAATGAATGCCTTTCTTTAACTAGGAGGCTGTCCCAGTGAATTCTTTCAGGACACTAGGACCCACACGTCTATTCCTCATCATTTCAGGTAGCACCCCAGCATTCTTAGGGTCCACCCTGAACTCATCACGAATGGCTACAGAGAAAGTCTAAGTGAACTCTTTCACACCTGAACCAGCTCTCCCAACTCTAACCTCAACACTTTCATGTGTGTCTGTTTACTCTAAACTACATTAAAATCCTGGAAGTGCAGGATCTACGGTTTGCAGCCTATTCCTTTGAAGCCTCACATGAAAAAGAGTGATTGACAACCACCACTCCCATTTCCCAATGTGACTTTTGGGAACAGGTTCTTTCCTCATACAGTTGAAAATAAACAAGGCTGTAGAAACAAAGTAAGCTACTCTTTCTACACACATTCAGACCTGCCCCCATCCCAAGAAATTATAGCATGTTAGCAAGAAAGTGGCAAAAGTATTTCACTAGGGGTTCTGAGTATCATAGTAGGGAAGGAGTGGACAAGAACCTAAGACAGAGATGATGAAGTTGAAAAATGTGAAAATGTGGAGCTTCAAAACAGTAGCTCAGAAGGTAGGGAATAAAAGGGGGGGGGGCGGGGAAAGGAAGGTACATGTACACGTAAGCACTGAGATGGAATAAGGGTAACACTACAACAAATATAAAACTAGTATTATTATTAGCAATAATAATATGTGTGTTCTCAAGTCTGATTTATTAAGGGGAATGCCTTTATGGGACCCAGAAGGTGGTAAGGATTCTTACCAGGAGATAGGCACTGTCAGATCTCCTTCAGAAACTCCCCATCTGATCAGGGAACAGGACAGGACTTAGGGAGTCAGTGCATGTGTAGTTCTTATCATGGGAAAAACAGAGCTACTGAAAAATTCACGTTTTGATGACTATTAATTTCCTAATTGAAAAAAGAAAAGCAAGTCATGGCACTATAGAAAAAATGCTGGATTTGAAGTGAAGAGCCCTGTATTCAAATCTTGGCTCTGCTACATACTAGCTTGGTGTCAGTTTTCTCATCTGTAAAATGAGGCAGTTAGTCCAAACCACCTTGTATTTAACTACTTCCAACTTCCCCTCTGATGCCCCCATAGGACTTCTGGGCTTTTGCAGCTATCCTGCAGCTTGACTTTTTTTAATGAGTTGTCTACCCAAATTATTCTGGGAATTTCTTGACAGCCAGGACTGCCTTTTTTCTTTCTGTACCTTCTCAGTGCCTAGCACAACATAAGCCCCTAAAATGTTTTTTTTTTCATTCATTCATTCACTCACTCATTTCTGATATTATCATGTAGCAAAGTAACTGGCTTGCATGCTATCAAATATCACTCAGATTAACTTGGTCCATTCAATTATTTATTGGGTGTCTAGATGCTAGGTACTCTTCCAGGGCACTAAAAATACAAAGACAAGTAAAAAGTGACCCTGCCCTCAAAAAACTTACATTCTATAAGGGGAAGCATAAGTATATACAAATTAAATGTGGGCCTTAAGCTGAACTTTGAAGGAAGCTAGGATTCCAAAAGTTGAATATGAGGAAAGAGTACATTACAGGTATGAGGCCAATTTGTGCAAAGGCATGGTTAGAATATTGCATGTGAAGAACACGAAGATCACAAATTTTATTTGGTTATTACCATTAACTATTACTACACTACATCCAAATATGCACAGTCTTTATAGTTGGCTGCTCATGGAGCATAAATGACAGGTTAGACAGTTTGTATACTAAATAACAGATTGTGCATTTGGATAAAAACAGCTGAAGGCCTTGCATTGTATAAAGCAAACAGGCAGAAGTCACTAGATCTCTAGAATCAATAAACTGGGCCAAAACTAGATTTGTACATTTTAGCAGCTTCCATAAGATTGGCACAGTTAAGAATGTATCTCAATTAAAGCCCAGGAGACCTGGACTCAAATCTCAGCTCTGTTAATCAATAGCTCTGTGACCTTCTGTGAGTCATAATTTCCTCCCCTGTATAACAAGGGGGTTGGAATAAATGGTCTCTGAGGTCCCTTCCATCTCTAAAATGCTTTAAGTCAGAAAAGAGCCACAGTTCAGGGCACAACCTTCTAACTGCAATACTGGAAAGCAAATTGGGAAATGCAGGTGAGATTCCTAACTGAAACAGGCAAGACAAAGCATAACCAGCTGCCCTGCCTTTGAATCTTCAGGCTGGATTTGCAGAACCTTCAGAACTGGAAAGGACTTACAGAGGTCACATCAATGACCTCCGAGACTATTCCTAATGCTAACCTATATTGCAAAAGAACCACCCATGAAAAGCTCTCATAATCAGCACTCCCCTGATTGTGACATTTAGTCACCGCAAACGCTGAAGGGAAAACTACAGAAGCTCCCTAGAATTAAGGATGCTGTGATAACCTCAACTGGGGTTTAAATGAACCTTGTACCAACTGCTTTTCTGCTCTGAATGTAAAGTAGGATGCAAGTGAAAATGGGAGGGGGCCAGCCACCTGTGAAGGGCATTACTAATGACACTACTTTGTATTTCAGAAAGGCCTTGTTTCTGAATAGATCTCTTGGCATTTCACAGTCAAATCATTGACCTTCTAGACATTCATGGAAGGTTAGAAGGGACAAAGAATAATTCAGGTATAAATATGTAGAAAAACTGATACCCACTGAAGCCCAGGATTTGGTACATCATATGGCAAGTGAGCTAAGGAAATGAGAAGGGAAATTAGGATAATGATTTCTAATTTCTGAAACAAGTCAGTAAATCTGGCTTGCGTGGGATACAGGTTGGGACTCAAAAGTTCCCCACCAGTGAAAACAACTAAAAAAAAAAAAAGGCCTTAATAAGAAGCAGTCAATAAAAAAACAAAGGTCAATATGATATTAGGGTCAAACAAA